TGCCATCATCTGCTCTGGATGTTTAGTATCTTTAAAAAATGCCGGGTTTAAGCCATTTAGGAAATCTGAAAATCATATGCAGCCTCTCACACAAGTTAGTATATGCATGTTCTTTACAGTCATGGGTCGTATAAGATTGTATAAATATGTATGCCTAGATAAGAAAGCAGAACTGGGAAAATATTTAACATAAACGTCTAGGAAAACCAAACAAAAAAGTCAGAATTAAACTCCCCTTAAAGAAACAGACTGAAGTGAAGCAAAGCAAAAAACAACCAGCTATACTGAAAAACAAATATTAATAAAAAAGAAAAACTTTATGTGATTGATATTACGAGACTGAAGAACTAAAGGGAATACATTAAAAGTGATAAATCTTTAATTTAAAAAATCAATTAAGACATCCACATTAGCCTAATCTGTAACAGTCTCATACAATCATGATGAATTTATGCATAAGTCAGTTCTGGGTTTATCATCCCAGACGGCACTATGTTTACTTTAAAGGCACATCTAGTTTCTTTCATGTGCTTTGCCCTTATAGCACAGCTCTGGAGTTAAGGTTGGGAGCTTTAGCCTACAGGCAAACATCAACGTTAGCCATGTATGAAAACACCTACAACTACACCTGATCGAGATACCTGTTCTGACACCCCATTTCCCTCCCATTCTGACACCCCATTTCCCTGAGTCCTTTGGCATTCCCGCCTGGTAACCTCGTCACTCGTCCCGATGGGAAGGGGCCTTGGGAGCTGGTGATCAGCTCTCCTCGAGCAAGGCTTTGCACCAGCCCCCACGCTGCAGCAAGGGCTGGAGGTGGATTTCAGCCAGTAGGAATTTCTTATCTGCAATTCAGTGATTTCTTCATCATCAGTGACTACCTCCTGCTTCACCTCTGACGCAAACGAGCCAAAGAAATCACGTAGCCTTCCCCTTTGTATCATATCACGCTGTAGGATGATACCGATTCTTCCACCCATCTGTAGCGACAACAGGCTCATCGGTAACTTCAGGTCGTATTGATTCCATTTCCATGCATTTTGCAAATGACAGATAATATATGGGTCAGGTTTGTTTAATGAAAAGCGCTAATTTAGAGCCGCAATGAACAATCACAGTACTGCCAGAAGTTCTATCAAGTGAAAAACTTTACCATGTTTTGCCGTCTAGATGAGACACAGAAGTTGTACTTAGCCACCTAAATATTAAGGAAGTTTCTGTTGAAACCAAATGCACAGAGCAGCATTGTGTTGTTATTGTTATTGCTGCTTTTATATGTACCTCACACCACTGACTTTTCTGTGTGTCTCCCTCTCACCGACACCTTACAGATTCTGAGGGAAAAATCGACCTTTGTGTCCGTGAGACCTGGCCACTTCAGAGAAGGGCGACCCGAGCACATTACCCAAATTGCTCTCAGAATATCAAAATATGAAAAGTACCGAAATTTTATCAGAACGCACAAATGTCCCTAGCTTTTCTGTAATGAAGGTATTTGTTATTACTTCATCCTGTCATTCTTTGTTGCTTCCTGTTCTTTATTTTCTAGGTCCCACGAAGCTCTTGTTTGCTCCTGCATACTGTGCACCATGGGAGGTGTTAAAAAACAACGTCTCTCCGGTGTCTTTAAGTAAGAAAACCATTATATTTAGAGGCAGGAAGCAAAGCAGCCTTTCTGAGTGTGGAGCAGGTTGATTTATTCTGAAATCCAGCAAGGCACCGCGTGGGCACTGACCCAGTGAGGACAGCAACCGACCCTGGACTGGGGGACTTGCTCATTGCTGACCTGGGGCAGAAGCCCCCTCTCTGAGCCCTAAAACAGGGGCAGGCGTGAGTCATATTGGGGACTGTGCCAGGAGGGGTGTGGGAGCAACCTTTTTCCTGTGAGATGCTCAGAAAGTTGACTGAAACGTCTACGATATAGATGTGTATATAGATATATTTGTGTGAGAGTAGACTGCACAAAAAGCTAACGAAGCAGGAGGCTTAAAAGCTTACAGCCCATTTAAAAAAGCTACTCAGGAACAGAGTTTTAAAAGTAATGAGACCACTGCAGTGGGAAAAGGATGATTTCTAAAGCACTCAAACATGTGGTTACCTCACGCACATGGAAGTCGCTAGGAACCGGGCTCTTAGCTGGCTTTGCCGTATCAGTAACTGATATTGTTTTTAAAATATGTTTGAATATCCATGAAAAGAAAAGCGAAAATTTAATTAATTGCATTATACGTCAATTATATTTTGAATTATGCAGCTCTGTTTGCACAATGGTCCAAGATCCTCTCCTCTGCTGTTCTGTAAGCTGCTAACAGGGGTAAGAGAAAAATACACAAAAATCTTCTTACAAAATGTAAAGGAGGCAAAAGCTCCAAGAGCACAAAACAAGGTGGATGCCACTAATTCTGTCTTATTAACTCAAATATTCCCAAAGGGTAACGGTCAGTGGTTTAGGTTTTCTTCTTCAAGTGCGATCAAACTACTGTACCTTGTTTGGTCATTTTTGTTTAGACCAAACTATTTTTTAAATTATTTTTAATGTGCAAATTATATTTTTGAAAGTTTGAACATTTGTTTTTAAATCCCATTTGAAATTACATGACAAGTTTTTCCATTGAATGATCGTCCTTATTTATCTTTTCTGACGAGTCCATGTGCACTCTTCATAATGAGGTATGGCACAGAGATATAGTGTAACAGCTGGGGGGTTTGTTTTCACTTTTGCTGGGAATATTATTGTTGTTTGAGGCATTTTATCTTCTCTTATAGACCAAACAATCTTTTGTTATTAAAAAAAGGTTGACACAACAGAAATGATATATTTTGGACTGTAAAAGAATATTCATATTTTACATTTGCAAGAAATAACTTCTTCTACCCAGTGGTCAAAACAGAAGTTGAGAACTGCCAGGAGCAGGTTTGAGTGATACACACTTCCAGCCTTTCTTGGTTTCTTATCAAGGCTCCTACATGGCTTTCACATGCAGTGATTTCTCGATAATCTAAATCAAATAAGTTTTATCAATCCTCTTTCAAAGATATTCCAAAAATAGTCTATTGACCCAGCTCTCTGAAGGTCTGTAGAGAAGTTTGAGAACTACTTATTCTGAATGTTTGCGCTTATTCTATGTGTTTCCCCTACATAGAAACTATAGAACTAACTCTGAAGCCCCAGAACTCTGGGCCACTTCGACCACTGACTATTGCATTAGTAGTATGGATATTTTACGTGTTACTGCAATAATGATAACATCAGTATGGTACGAAACGTTAAAAACCACACAAAAATAACGTTAAAAATTCTGCCAATAAAAAACCAAACCCTCCAAAATAAAAAATAAAAAATAAACCGTCCAAACCAAACACTGGCAAAATCTAGAAGGAAAAATATTTTTAAATCAGCATCTTTGGGAATATTTGGTTATGCAAAAGTTCTAAAACGAGATACTTTGGTTCACAAAAGAACACGTATATTTTGTACGCGCCACAAAGAGCTTTTTGTTTTCACTTAATCCGAAAGCGAATTTCAGATTGTTGAGAATTCCCCAGAAACGGGGACAATCTAGATGTGATCCGTTTAACGCTGCCTGTCCCAGTTTGCCCCACTGACTCGCTGCTGGGCATGCCGAGCCCGGTCCCAAAAGCTGAGGGGCAGCCCCAGCCCAACGCAGCCCCGCTGAGCGGCGTGGAGGCAGGGCGTGCGGCAAAGCTGCTTACCCAGCAGGAGCACGGGGGCTCATCCCGGGAGGCGCTGAGGAACCCCAAAGGTGCTGAGGAACCCCAGAGGCGCTGAGGAACCCCAGAGGCGCTGAGGAACCCTCTTTTCCCAGCTTGAGCTCAGCCCTGGGAGATGCCCAGCGCTGCGGTGGGCTTGGCAGGGCCAGGAGCACAACCGGCCGTGTTGCCCTTTCGGGGATGAAGCGTCCCAGGGTCACTCCAGAAGCTCACTCCATCTTTTTCTTGCCCATTGCAGGGCAGTTCAGGTGTCCCAAGGACTCAAGGAGAGACTTACGACGCCTCTCCTGCAGGACAGAGGGACCTACTGCTGAGCAAAGTGGGGAAGCCTCTTTTGATTTCTCAGTCCCTCATATATCTTGTGCTCGAGTCATCCAAAATGAGTCCAGAAGGGAGCTGTGCAGCACATCCTCCCTTTCCTCCACTACCTGTGGATTTGAGCAGCTCTCCAGTTTCTCTGGCACGGGACACGTGTACACCTCCCGCTGCGTGTCCGCGAGAGCACAACCCATAGGAAGGGAAAGGTACGGCATGAGGAGGCTTTGCAGATGGTGAAAGCAGGAAGTCTCCTTCCTCTACTTCAGATATTCTTGTAGCCTAATGAATAAAACACTACTTTTTCCCCCAAATTAATATGTTACCTCTTTAATGACAACCCCATGCTGCTCGGAGTGCTGCACTTCCGTGAGCAATGTGCACGGAACTGACTTCTTCTCACCTGGAAGTAAACAAATGGACTTACATTTTAATTCCAACTAATCATTTCTTAAAGTCCGTATTTTTTATGGTAATATTCGTTAAGCTCTTCTATTATACTTAGTGCAAGGAGAAAACTGGTAATTGCATTCAAAGCAATGATAAGTTACCATTTTAATGATTCCTTATGTTGTGAGTAATTTATAAATCACTCGGTATCTTCTCAGCGAAGCTTGCCTTCTGTTTTTAAAATGTACCCTTTCGTATCCAACAAAGGGTTTCAGTGCAATAAGAATTAAGGTGTGTCTCTCTGCTTTTACCTGCAAGCAATAATGATGTTGTCAAGCGTTTCAGGTGAGACCAGCCCAGGATTTTGGGGTGGGGAAAGACACTCTGTTATACAGCATCTTCAGTGCTTCCCTCAGAGGGAGGCAGAGACACCTTGAAGGGCTGAGTGTAAGGACATCTACCGAGTGTCTTTTTAAATAGACACCAGAGTTGGGGGGGGCGGGGGAAAGGAGCCGGCTTGCAACCATAACTCAGCTGGACTTGTATCCGAGAAGTCAGATGCCATGGATTGGCTCCCTCACCGAACTGCTGCTTTTCTCTTCTTTTTATTGGTAAGTCAGATTTTAAAACAATATTTGTAAACTCTGTGATTATGCCGGTTGAGTCTCCCTCAGCAGACCATCGCATTTCACCGTGTAAACTACTTCCCCAAAAAATCTTGCGAAATTTAGCATAAAAAACAAAGCTGTGCTTATTTTAAACTGTGCTTCTGAAGGTTCTATACAAATAATTTAGTTTTTCATTAAATGCCGATGAATGTTTCTTTTGATTTTGACTTTCTGCAGCCTGTCGATGTTCAATAGGTGACTTTCTATGTTTAATGCATGCCTTTTGAGGTGAATGTTGTCTGTGGCTACCATTTAAGGAGCCACTGTTATTAATAAAAGTCTCACCATTATAAAAATCCTAATAACTTGACTGGATATCATCTTCTTTCATCAACTGAGGGAATATAAAGAGCAAATCTCATCTTCTAAACTGATTAGCAAGAGAGCTTCAGAGCTGAACAGATGCTACGGCTACATTCAAGAGAAAACCACGAAATTTAGCAAAGACCTTAGCTGAGTAAAAATCAAAACTTGGCTTATTATTTCGCATTACAAAGAATTCCTCTCTTGTAGTGCACTAGTGTGCGAGCCGCCACGCGCCGAGCAAGTAAATGCATGATGAAAGTGTCGCTCTTTGGGTTTGTTTTTCTCACTGTAAACCGAAAGTTGTGGCTATGGCCAAGTGGAGCAGTTGTACAGTGTGTTCATCAAGGCACGGAAATGAGCCAGAAAGGACCCAAAAGAACTACGGAGGCCTTTCTACTCCTGCAATCTGATTTTTGTGTGGATTATTTTTACTCGTCTGTGCTGCTTTTCTGAGATTAGGTAGGGGTTTAAGGCCCTGAAGACTGAATAGAGAAGGTTTCTATTATAGTTGTGTCCTTCTGTGGCTTTCACAAAATTTTACGTTTTACACAACGTATTAGTAAGCGTAAATGTTTGTTAATTTCTCGTTACCGACCCCTCTAGAAATGTTACAGTCAGGGAAAAAAGCTTTTGTGGTTGTAGAATATGAAATCCTAAAACTTACTTTGAAAAGAGAATCCATTAATTTTCGGTGACAGCTCTGCAGCCAGTCAAGTAGAACTAACCCACACAGGGCGGCTGCCAAGCAAACAACACCACAACTTGGCAGGAGCGAGTTACGGTTCGGATGTGTTTCTGCTTGTTCAGCGCAGCGCAGAGGTCTCTGAGGTTGGCACGGTGCACATCACACTAACACCTCCGAGTTTTCCTGTAGCACTGGTGACTATTTGTTTTACCCAGTTACCTGGTGATGCGTACTCCTGATGTGTTGAAATTCAACCAAAAAAAAAAAAAAGAGGTGACTCTACTGTATCTAAGATCTGTCCATTCAAAAGAGATTTTACTGCTTTATCTTCTCTCAGCAACTCTGGAGCCATTTTCTTTCTTTCAGTACATTATTTTTACAATTGTGGCTGATGCAGGGTATGTGTTGGGTCAGGAAAAAGGAGCAATTGTGACAACTGCCATTATGTTTTGATGACTGTCAAATATTTGAACTTTTACTACCCAGAGGAAAGTTGTTGTTCTTATTACGCGTTCTTCTGCACAGCAGTGTTCACGGTGGCCTGTACAGCTTAATAGCACCTTTCAGCACTTTATCGAAAGCTGACAGACAAGCTTTAGAGACTTAAGAAATTGTAAATTATGTAGCCAATTTTAGTGCATTCTGAGAAGCAGTCTTGGTTTTCGGGTTGATTAATCTTTCATTAAAAGCACCTGTCTGAATGGTGTCTGGTTAGCATGCTGTTAATAAGTCGTATCAAATAAAATCGCTGTGGAGTTATACATACTTCAGTATACTACTAAACTTTCATAAAAAGAAAACTTACCAGCCCTGAAACTAATAATTTTCTATATGCATTTCACCATTGGTGGGACCGATTCTGCAACCCTTGCTCACGTGACTTCAAAGGCGTTATTGCCATGAGTAAGGGAGTTCTGTTTGTGGTACTTGCACAGACACGTTTTATGGAAATAACCTGTTTGATCAGGTATGACTCTTCTCCTGCCAGCTATCATGTGACAGCTAACAATTGTAAATTCACCACATCTCTTGCATGCACTTTTGTCTGGCTGCCATTTTCCCATGTGCTGTCTATGCTGGTTGCACATAAAAATATTAAGGAGCCAAATCCTCTCCTTGCATATGCATACAGAACATCTGCCGGGATGTAGCCAGGAACCTGCAGGCTCTTCTGCCAAAGAATTTTGTTGTAGAAATAGAAAGTAAAGCAATTCCACATGCAGGAGTTGTCACCTAAGATTAGGTTCTTAAATCTGCAGTTTTACATTCCTCAGTAAAAATGGTCCCTAAGCAAATGTGCATTTGCAGCTAGAGCACTCTAAGCTGTATTAGAATTCAGGTTTTATTGAGATTTATTGAAGAGACTTAGCATGACTAATTAGAAAAACTCAAATTTGGATGATAATGGCATACACCCTGCACTGAAATTACTTTTACGTTCATTTTTCTAATGGTTAAGCTCAGTTACTGTACGGAAATTCATTATTTCTGCATGACTCAGCAGAACAGAAACAATCTCAGTGGAAACTTTCCCAAAGTGGTCAGTTCTTTGAATAAATATATTTTAAAATAGGTAAAAGTTTGGAATACATCCTTCTCACTGACATGAGTATTGTCATACTTCTGCTGCAATAGCAATGGATTCTCCATCCTAGGTGCAATACAAACTATTGATGTCATTTGCTAACACAGGAAGCAATAGGAACACCTGAATTCTGCAGAATTAGAAAACAAAATGCCAGAAAAATCATCCTGAAAACTTCCCCTTTAAATTGGAAGAAACACATTCATTAGTGACCTACAAAAATAAAAAGTATAGACAAAACCACACATTTTGGTTTAAAAGTCATCAACTGGCTTTCTTTAAAAAAATATTAGGTTTTGTCTTATGTTTCAACTCAGCTTCTCATTATTTCATATGCACTGACTTATCATTTTTTAAAGCGCTGTAGAATGAATAAAAGGAAGGGTTCGTTATTTCAGCCCTTTGCTAGTCAGAGCTTTGGCTGAGTAAGAAAGACGTAAAAGTCCCAAAACGCTGACACAACCAGAGCTACCATGGCACCCTGATGACTCACATAATGTGTGTGAGTTCTCAGCACTCCTCCCATGCAGGCCAATAACAATACCGCTGTTGACTTCAAAGAGAGAGAAGCAGACCCAGTATGAATAATGCTGGGAAGATGTTAAAGGCGTGTTCAGTCATTTAGATCTGAGTAGGTGGAGGAGGGAGGATTCCATAATTGCGTATAATATTGCTTGGCAGTCAATTAATGATTAGTTAATTCTTGTTTGTAAATTGCTTTGAAGGTGCAAAGAACTATACACATCCTATGGGCCTGATTCTGTCCTCAGTTACATCAGAATAAATCCAGAATAATTCCGATGTGACTCCAAGGAGTCATTTTGGACACAAGGTTCAGGCTCTGCATCATTACAATAAAAGAACAAGCTTTCAGACAGGCCACCGTGCAAATGACAGTCACCACAGACAGGTTTCCTGCCGGCACCTCTTCCAACCCCAACCAGAAACAGCTTGTGCAACAAGCCTCTGGCTTCTCTGCACTTTCCATTCTTTCACAGTCCCTCAGAGACTAACAGAACAGCAAATCTTGGTATCATTCTGACCAGCTTGCCTACCCCAAGGTCCTCAGGACGCATCCCACACATCCCGGTGGCTCCTATTGCTTTAATTATCGTCAATCAGTGAATCTATGGAAAGTGCTGTACTCGGACACTAGTTTAGAAGGGAAATTTGTTCACTGGCTAGAAGTCTGCTGGAGTTAGCTGCTAGGAGACAGCACTTCTGTGATGGAAATAGCGCTAGAAAAAAAGGGGTTGCATTGCAGAGATATTAGAAATAGATGACTGGGGTGTGGGGAACCTTCTAACTGCTGTCGATAGTGGAGAAACAGAAAACATTAGTTGGGGAGGCAGAGGAACCTGCATCCCTGGGTCAAGTTGGATAGATGTCACTCCAGAACTGCTGAGGTTTAGCTGGTGAGCTAGACAACTTTGGGGTCTGCCTGCCCACCTTCCTATAACACGGTGATAAACTGAGACACACACCAAACGCAAGCATCAAGTTCATCGGATCAGCCTTTTCAAATAATACCACAAACTACTAAAAACTCTGGATTCCGAACTGTCAAGACTTCTTTCAAGACCTTCCATTAGCAGCACATAGCAGAATGGGGGTTTCCTCAGTTAGTATGGGACAAGTGTGGAAATACGGGGCCTAAATTCGCAATCCCCAGCATTACTAATGAACAAATTCCTGACGTTCCCATTGTTGGCACTCAAAACCAAAGGATGAAACTCCAGTGTAAAATGTGTATCCTTCACTGCTTGAAAACAGAACTCCCTATAGGCTGAAAGCAAGAGCTTTATGATTATTCATGTCCTTAAAGAACAGAACTCTTAGTTCTGAGAAACTCAACACAGTTTTTCAGTTAGGCCTGTGAGTATGAGAGTGATGTGGCTGGATGTGAGACACTGGTTTCACTGTTAAGTAACAGAATAGACCACAGGGCGCAGACAGTAGAGAAGATTCACTAACGTTGCACGGGGAGGTGGACACCCGTACTTTTCTGGGTCAAGACAATTGCTAGCATGCCAGAAGGGATTTCAGCGTCAGGGTGGAGAGGATTTCACCGCGCTCACCAAAGGCGGCTCTGCTCTGCGGGTGGGATCAACTGATAAGAGACATTGAATCAGTGCTATTTCTGGTGGACTTCACCACCCAGGTTCTCTGGTGAGGGTGTAATCTGCCCCTTCTACTCTCCCATGTTTCCCCAGGCTCCAAGGGGATCATAATATGACAGGCCTGAGCTCCCACTGGGGCGAAAAAACCCCTCAGTTTAAATGGAGTCTGATATTGTCCCTTCTCTGAGATAAGTAATGGCTGCACATGAATCTGAACCCCATTCTGCAGCTGCAGATTTAAATAGTCCCCGAGACATAAACCCAGATTAAAATATGTATTGTTTTTTAGCGCAACATGAACGTATTGCAATGGTTTTCCTGCAGAGTACTTTTCTTAACCATGATACAATAGAATATGCTCAAAGAAACAAGAAGAGAAATCCTTACTCCAAGAACAGTCCAATAAATCTCAAGGTTTATGCACACCACATGGGCAAATCCACAGTCTAAATTCGCTTACTCAGAAGCAGATTAGGGCAGACATTATGTGCCAAGGTCTCCGGGAACATCCTGGGCAAGAGCAGATGGTTGGAGACACTGCTTTGTAAACATCAGATGGTGAACCTCTTATGGCATATAGGTAAATGGGGAAAAGGAGGAAGAGAGAGGAAGGAGAGTGAAGCTGCTGTTCGTTAATCTGCTGCATGTAAGAGGTTGTTTTAACATGACGTAAGTGGGGAAAAGTCTGTGCCCTTCTTGCAGCCTTGACAGTACAATGCAATAAATTTGAAGTGAGGAAAGTCCCACCAGGTAAAGCTACCATAGAGAAAAAGATTGTCACAGATTTTATGCAAGTATAACTGACATAAAACCTGCCAGATAAAACATCTCAGGGAAAAAAAAAAAAAAAAAAAAGCAAAAGCTATTGAACAGTACTGAGAAATGATAAGGAAAGTGGAAAATTGATAATTACAGCTGTTAACCACATTGGGTGAGAAAAGAGCAGCTCTGCAACACTTTTTGAGTCACCTGGGTATTTTGTTTCTCCCAATGATGAATGAAGGAAGCATCCAGTCCAGCAAATCCCGAATTCTGCACCCTTTATTGTCTGAAGAGAGCAGAAGCAGGTCCTAAACCCCAAAGAGATGCTCTGAAGAGCTACATTCACCAAGTGAACTTCATTTTCACACCTTTTTTAGGAACAAGGTGTGAATTAATTAAACTGCGCCTTCTTTTAAATTGTGCTAATCAAGAAATTGAGGTTTCTCTATGATTTTAATTTTAAATTTAAAGTAGTTACATATTTCATCTGATCCTGCTGCCTATATTTACTCAAGGCTCTGGTTGCATAATTAGATCTCAAATCAAAGCCCACTGCACTCCAGGGAAATTGCCTGATGACTGCAGTTGGCCTTCCATCTTACGTTGAATCTCCTCAACCTCAGCGGGAAGTTTCAAGAAAACATTTTCATTCTTTTGGGTTAAACTACATAGTTAAGTAATCCAGGTCTACTGTGGACTTTCTAAACAAGAAAAAATAAAGAATAAAGAAAAAAATTCTCCAGAACAAACAAATACTCCTTTTCTAGTTTCCTAGGCACACGTTTTAATAACAACTCTTGGAACCACTTCTCTCTTCAGCTGAGGTGTTACAGTCTAAAAGTCTGCGTGAAAGCCGTAGTTTGATGTAGGTACAACTTGAGATTTGCTATGGCACACCCCTTCAAACTCAAAGTTCTGCCTTGAAAGAACAATTTTGAAGGTGTTCACTGTCAAGGAATTTAAGTGATGGATATAGGAAAAAATGAATTGCACAAAGTCGTTTATGGAAATCCTGTAGCCACTGCCTAGACAGGCTATTGCAGTAACTTGAGGCAAAATATTGCAGTCTAGCAGTGTATGGCAGTTGGGGTTTGCTTACTTCATTTTGCCCTGCACTTTTATATGCCAATCTTCTTATTGTTCTTGCAGGTACTCTTGGATTTCAGCACAGGATTTCATGTAGAGGTAATATACATTTCTTTAGAAACTGATTTTCTGATCCAATGAAATGTAACCAATGCAAACATGAAACGGAAAATACCGAACTAAGACTTTTCAGAACCTGAAGATTGAAAACATGTTTAAATATTAAACAGCTGCAGGTAATAACCTGCTCACCCTCTCAAGAGAAGTTCTCCTGAACCTAAATGAGTATCTCACACAGAGGAATAATTTTAAAGTAAACATGTACAGTCTTAGAGTTTGGGTGGGGCTCACAGACATATAAAAAAGCACACGGTTTATAACAATCCCCTTTCTCCCTATTGCTGGAAATTCTGAATGTCTGTATTAATTTTAAATGGATTGAGGTTACTGGTCATATGATACTGGACTCTCTGCCAAAGGTAAAAGAATGGGATGAAAATGGAATGGCAAGATGGAAAACCTTCAGAAGACAAAAACGTGAATGGATCAAATTTGCTGCAGCGTGTAGAGAAGGAGAAGATAATTCTAAGAGGAATCCAATTGCCAGAGTAAGTAGAAAGAAATACAAAAGGGTTCGCTGACAAGGAAGTTTTTCTAAAGACGGGCTAAAAGCAGAGAGATTTAAAAGTGCATTTGCTTAGAGTAGTCAAAGCAAGGAATGTAGAATAAAAGAGAGACGATGCAATATTTCCAGCTCTGCTGAGACAGTCTCGCAAGGTGAGCCCCCACGGCTGCTGAGGAGTGACCAACGGCTTCCTAGACAGCTCCGACTGAAGTCCCTTTGAGTCCGGCATCTGTCTTCTAGATCACAATATTTTTCTGAGAAACCCCAGAGCACAAGTTCAAGGATAGTGCATGAGTTCCGTGGGCAACAGAGCAAAAATATCTCCCTGTGCCCTCACCATGACCGTACCCTTACTGAGGTCCAGTCACAGCGTGATACTCTTGGAATTCTCCCTCTCCACTTCCCTGACAGCAGATTGAAGAGCAATAGAAAGCCTGTCCAGCACTTAAGGGGAGGTGGATCTCTAGGCCGACTGTTTTGTAGAAAAGCCTTCCGTTGGTTCTGTCAGTTGAACATTGTGATCAGTGGCTGAGAAACCGAAATTATAGGGAATTGTTTACAGGCACTAGTAATAGGGGAAAAAAAAAACCCTGCAGGTGTCCTCACTAAACCGGCATGAATTATTATTATCTATTTTCGCAGATTCGATCAGATTGCGAAGAAAACAATCCAATCACATACAGCATCTCTGGAGTTGGAATCGATCGTGCCCCCTATGGAATATTTGTCGTTAACCCAAGAACAGGAGAAATTAATATAACATCAATAGTGGACAGGGAAGTAACCCCAGTATTTGTTGTAAGTACTCCCCTTTTTCTCTTACCTTTAGAATGATGCATCTAGGGTGGGGTAGGGAGAGCAGAAGGAAACAAATTCATTTGTTTCAGACTGTTACTTTGCTTACTTCACTTTGGGTTTTAAAACGAATAAATCTCTTTATCTAGATACGTTGCTTTGCTAAACACTCAGTGACGGGTGTAGATTTGGAACCACCTCTTGAACTTCGAGTCAGAGTTCTGGATATAAATGATAACCCTCCCGTATTTGCCCAAACTGTATTTACAGGATCTGTTGAAGAAAGCAGTATGGACAGTAAGTAACACTGTTATGCCTCTCCCAGTACAGTCAGTGAAGCTCCCAGCACACAGTTAACATAAACCTGGGGTGCTCCTTCTCCTTTTTCTTAGGCAATGGCATGTATTGGCCAGGGCTACTGCAGAGGAAGGAGCAGCAGATGCTTCTCCAAGTGCTCGAGCTGGGGCCCAAGCTCATTGCCTAAAATTAAGCAGCAATGCTTCCTTCCCCCTTTCCTCCCACACACGAACGCCGAACGTTCCTGTTTCTAACCGTACCATCATGCAAATTCGTTCAGACATGAAAATCTAAAATAAATCAGTTCATCCCTTCTCATTAAAAAAAAAAAAAAAATTAACATTACACCTACGCTTACTTCCTTTGAGGGTATATAAAATATATTTATATATATTTGTTATTTCAAATGTTTGTATTTGTAGTCTGACTATTTCAGTTGCAGTAGAATATTACTACATAAACCCTTACTTAAACCACTAAAATGGTTCCTTTTTACCAAAAAGTACATCAATCAATATTAGACATGCAAACAGCACTGAGGCAATAGTGCCTGACGCTCATTTTCTACTTTCCAGAAATTCTCATTTAATACTGTGGAGATTTCTTACATGAATATCTACAAGCTCAGTACTTACTGGTTTTACACAGCTCCTACGGCGACTTAACGAAGTTCAGTGAAAATCTGCATTACTCGATCTGATCTTAATTGTCAATGTATTTTAAAGTCATTAGCATTCAGTCAGAATCAGTGCTACAAAATCAAACTTTTGTTTTCCTTTGTAAATGTCAATGACTAGACAGCATTCCACCATTTTTATACACCGAGTTTTGGCATTGTCTTGATGAGTCTTTTGCAGGAACAAACCAGATTTTCTGATTTGCTATTTTAATTATTTTTTTTTGTTCTTAGACACACTGGTGATGAAAATAATTGCATCAGATGCAGATGAACCTAATCACTTGAATTCTAAAATTGCCTTCAAGATAGAGAGTCAGGAACCTTCAGGTCCACCCATGTTCATTATGAATAAATATACTGGAGAACTCCATCTTGCAAATTACCTTGACAGAGAGGTAACACTTCCTTTCCAAAGTTAAATAACATGATGGTGTGGTGTATATGTGTTTTAGGAGAGGCAGGCCAGGGAGGGGGGAGGGGAGGGGGGGAGAAAGGTTGTGGTTTTTACAAAAATTAAGGGATAAACGCATTTGTTTCTCTAAGTTACAAAAAAAGTCTACGGCAGTTCCTGCATCAGGCAATAGCAGCAAGACATGAGTGTTGAGAACGTTTCAGATGTACAGGTGGTCCTTCCAACACGCTCATTTCTCTTTCTGTGACAGCAACACAGCAGCTACACTCTTGTGGTGAAGGCGTCAGACCGGGACGGAGCTGCAGATGGAATATCATCCCTTTGCAGCTGTAACATTAAAGTTATCGATGTCAATGACAACTTCCCAACTCTGGCTCAAAGCTCTGTAAGTTTTTTAATACCAAAAGCAACATCACTGTTTGAAAACCCTGTTCCAAAACCCAGTTGATAACAGAGCCCTTACTGACCATAGAGTGCTTTCACATGTGAATGCTCCACTGGATTTACAGGGCTCTTTCCTCAAAATCCAACCCGTCGCTGGTGCACCAATTCTGATAACATCCACAGAGATTATTTTTGTGTCCAGAGAAATCAATCCTGACACTGACTTCTCCGTATTCAGAGAAATCCAGTCTTTCAGGTGTCCAGACCCATGCAAAATGGCAAGATTATGTAGATTAACCCAATCTTTGTACGCTCTTTTCTTGTGGAAAGCACAAATCCATTTCCTCTAAGCTGCCTCTGCAAATACTTGAGGTGATACAGCTCTTCAGATCTGCAACCAGAATCAAAATTTACCCAGAATACATGGTTGTTATTAAATTAGCACGGACATCCTTCAAAAGAATCTTTGCAGCCAGCTCTGTTTTCCTCACATTACGTATTTTAGCGCTCACTAATAGGTATTATCTGTCATTCCAGTTTTCAGCAAGTATTTCAGAAAATTCACTCAGTTCAGAACTGCTACGAATACAAGCTCTGGATGCTGATGAAGAGTTTACAGACAATTGGTTAGCAGAGTTTTACTTTATATCCGGTAATGAAGATAACTGGTTTGAAATTGTTACAGACCGAGCTACAAACCAAGGAATCCTTAGAGTAATTAAGGTATGGATAACTATTGTGATTGAGGTTGAAATAATCATCTTAAAATAGTCATCTTAAAATAGTTTTAATTAATTGTTAACAAAATTAAATGAGCAGTAAAAACACTGTCACTCAACTATTTAAAATAGAAAGCATTTAGATAAAATTAAAGGAACTTTTACTTATTATCTAGTTCTCTGTGGTTTATCTTTTAGGAACTGAATTACGAACATCTCCAGAGTCACTCACTGGTTATCGGTGTCAGGAACGTAGCTGCCTTCCACCACTCTGTTGCACAAGACTTCCAAATGTCTGGAACACCCATCACAATAGAAGTAAAAAATCTGATTGAACCACCACGTTTTCAACCATCTTCACTTGTAATTTCAGTATCAGAAAGCACAAGAGCGAATTATGTCGTAGGAACATACACAGCCATTGATGAGGACACTGGGGCTATTGCATCAAACGTCGTGTAAGCTCTGCTCTGCTTAACTCCCTGGGTGGAATAATTCTTTTAACGGAGATTTCAATGGGATAAGGAATAGGTTGTTTAAAGTGTGCTTTAAAAAAATAAAAAACAACTTTAAAAGTGTTAGTAGACTAGCAATAGACTAGTATATTCTTCAGCCCATTTTTATGCTTTTGTTTCCTGACCTACTTTCCTTAGCCTTGTGCACAACACAAAGAAAGTAACATTTTTCTAACAGGCTGTAACTTAAATAAATCAGAACAGATTTTTTTTTTCTAACCCAGCCTAAGAATATTCTTTCTTGAAATGTTTGCCACAAATAAGGAATCTGTTAGCATCTCTAAAAAAGCTAGCAGAAAACCCCAGTAAGGGCTGGCATTATACAATCAGAATAGAAGACGTGTCTACCAGCTTATTCTATGGTTAAAAAAATATATATATTTGGCATTTATTTCTCCTGAAATTAATGATAATTAATGTACGTAGAAATAAATACATCCAGTTTACAAAGGTTTGAAAAGTTTTCATAAAACAGAGAAATATGTTAGCAAATACAACTGTAGAATGTTATAGGAAGAGCTGCGGATTTAACTACTAATAGCAACTGGGCTTCCAGTAAAGGTTTACAGGGTCCAGAAAGATTTTACTTTCAGACTGTGATACCACTTTCAAAATATAATGGATTTCTACACATTTGCTTTGTTCCTAATTATTTTTCTGGTCTACATCTTTCATAGCCTACAGGAATTTTGTTTGAACAGGGTGAAATGCAATAGGGCCTACTGCAGTCTAAAGAAAAATATTCCAAAGTGACAATGTTGTTTGCAAAATGAATTTGTAGTGCATGTATTCACAGCATAACGCTGAGTATTTTTACTTCACCAAATACAGATATAGTATAGGACGTGACCCGGGTGCCTGGTTCAGAATCAACCAAAACACTGGTGAAATCACACTGAACAAAGCCGTTGACTGGGAATCTGTCTATGTAAACAACGGGCAGTACAGAGCAGAGGTTCTGGCTATCACCAGAGGTAAGAAAGGAGATTAAGGTTTCTGAAACAAAACTCTCTTTGTTCCAGATCTCTCTCCATGTTTTTTTCCTGCTTCTGGTTTTCCCACCTGAACTGCACTATTCATAGTGTCAATACTCACTCCTGACCACAAATATCTTCTTTTTACAGGGGTTCCTCGATACACTGCCACTGGCACCATTGTGCTTTCAATACGAGACATCAATGACAACTGCCCAACTATTAATACTGAATTAAGGAAAGTGTGTATGCATTCCCCGTCCGTGGTTATCACAGCAAAGCATTCGGCTGGTGAAACGTATGGTCTCCCCTTTACGTTCAGCATACATGGTGAACCTCAAACTACATGGATTATCAGATCATTCAATGGTAAATTAACCTACATTTTATAACAGAATAAACCATAGTAATAAGCTCTTACCTAAGACAACAGATTAGGATAACCTTTCAATAACAAACAGAACAGTTATTAGAATCTATTCTAATCTCACTGAAATGTGATTTTATGCTCATATGAATCCAAGAAGTTGCTCTGGATTTGCATATAT